ACTAGCAGCCGTTATATATATTTATTTATTTACAAGACTACATCGAGCATATTTATATTGTTATTCAGTATAGCACGCCAATACTACAGCAACAAACAATTGAAGCGAATAAACAGTTTATTCTTCTCACGTCTCATCTTCTTAATCACTCAACCTCTCTCAAAATGTCCGATCCCGCCTATCAATGAAGACCATTCTTTTTACTGCTTAATCAGTTATTCATTTCTATTTTCAGGGTCACTTTCCTTGCAGGGTGTAGAATGACCCATCTAAATATTCCTCCTATATCTGGATAATGTGGTATTTATCATTTCAGCAGATGTTATTCATTTTCCATAGTTATTAATAACACCTAAGGCACAGTAGAGGAACAGTGGTAGGTTGTTTACAACATTTGAACTCAATTAAAGATTGTCACATTCCGATCGGGATCTAATTACGTTATTTTGAATACCATCTGTTAATGTCCGGTATTCATTCGACTATAAATGGTCTTGGGGATCAGTTAAAGAAACAGTTTATCTCTATTCGTACTATTTACAGTCAACGAGAATTATTATTTCTGACAATATACTGTAGTACATTCTGGAAATAGATAACTCGATTACTACAGTTATAAGTTACTAAAATCAGTAGATTTTTTATGTTATGCAAAACCCCAGATAAGCGTGAACTTAAAGGTCCCTCTCATGTAAGTTTATATAATGTAAAAATCTATTATACAATATATTATACAAGCTGATACTAGATTTCGAGACCAGATACTGACAAGATATAACTATCTGAAGTCCCTAAAACAGTGTGAAGTCCTAGACAAAAACTTAAATTGCTAATGCTTAAAACCGCCACTGACTTTTGCTTAAAAATATATAATATATGTATAACTTTTGCTTTAAATAATGTAAAATGTGAAAATTAAATTTCCGGTATTTAATTTTACATTTTTTTTCCACTAAACGCAATTTCGTTGCTTTATAGTAAGAATGAAAGAATTAAATAATTTATAATTCATATAAAGATATGCTTCAATTTATCTTTAATTATTACGAAATTATTTTAAAATATGAAAAATAAAATTTACGTCTCGATAACCACGATTAGGAAAATTTAAACATTAGAAACTAAACAGTGAAAATGATAAGAGGAAGCGTAGTTTGTTGTTGTATCCATTTATTTTTACAGCTGTAACTCAAGTGAGTTGTCATATATTCGTGACTAATATTGATGTTATTATTTCAGATATTACTGGAATCCAATGGCATAATCAGTTATAATTGATAAGCTGTTTCTTAGAAACTAATATAAACTCTGATTCTTTCTATTTTTATCGTGTAAGAATTTATTTAATTTAATGTTAATATATTCTTTCAGAAAAAGAAAAGATAACCTAGATGACATACTTACGGATACGTGCCTCGTGACGGTTACGAGTCCTTGAAACTAATTTTGTTCTCCCAACAGATTGACATCTCTGTAAATAAAATTAATTGACTTAATTATGGTTAAATAAAGATGTATTTTTACTATATTTAGGAACATAAATTCTGTAAGTAAAACACTGAATAAATATATTTGTAAGATTTTATTGCATGTAACACGACTTAACAATGAACGAAATTAAGAAACCAAATTTAAACACAATTATATACGAGTAAAAATTCCGGGATGCAATTTTTAATTAATTTAATTTAAAATATACGCTGTCCATAGCAAATTAGTAGTTTCTTGTCCCTGTACATTATACTTTTCCTGATAACAAGTCATACCAGTGGAGAAAAATTTTAAATTGAAATCACGTGACTTCCTCTCTATACCGGAAGTTCGCATATAGTTAATCGTGGCCTCCCTAATCTTATCTGCTCTCGACTTTCATCTTTCTCGAGATTAAGCAAGAACAGATATACAGACACTAAGAATTTATAGGTCTTAGAATTTTTTCAAATTGCAACCCAATAATATAGGCTATATTAAATGAAGGAAAAAATGAAAATTATTTTAGTACTTTTTTATACATATTCGCTTGATATAAGTAACTTCTTTAGTGACAATCTTCAGTGCTTTTTACATAATATAAAGATTTAAACTGCAGCCAAAATAGTTTCTAAGAAGAATAGAATATACGTAAAGTAAAAAGACATCAAACGTTTGGAAATTTCAAAAATTTAAAAAAGTGCAGCATAAAATAAAAATATTCTAGAATGACGTTAGAGAATAAAAATGCTTAAAATAACCAATAGGCAAGACAGAAAGACACGCTAGAAATCGACTCATAGAAAAACGTTCCGTATGACAAGTTGAAGAAAGAATGAAATATGTAATAGTGATAAAAATATATATATATATAGGGCCTATATAAAAGTTATAAAAAATAAAAAGAATTTTATAAAAAAAAAAGAAAATCTAAAAATAAAACATACTAAATTGAAATTTATTTTAAAAAATCTGTTGAAAAAAAAAATCGCATAAAATTTTTTAACAGCTCGAAAGTAGATAAAAATGACAGCATAGTTAGCTATGACTAATTTTTCAAATTCTGTTTTAAAGTAAGAAAATATTATAAAATTAAAGTCTATATATAGAAATATTTAATATTTTCCTTTTTAAAAACTTATAAAAATTAAATAAAAATAATTAAAAATGTTTTTAATTAAATCGATGAAAGGCAGTTAATATTAAATGAAGGGAGGGAAAATAGAGATAAGAGTTAAAAGATCAAAAGTAATAATGACAATAGTGAAAAAAAATTATGAAAATTAAAAAATCTTTATTCAATTTAGCAAAATAATGAAAAATCTATTACAAATATAATTTATTAAATTTATAAAACAACAAAATAGCAGTTTTCATGACAAAAATGATATTTATTTATAAAGAATTTAAAAATAAATATCATTTTTGTCATGAAAACTGCTAAATAAAAAATCAAAACGGCAAAAAAATAAATCTAAAATTGGTATTAATTACATTTTATTCAATATTCATGTATTGTTCTCTATCACTGCTTTTTTCTCTAAATTTTTTACTAAAGATAAATCCATTTATATTTTCGAATTTTTATAAATTAGCTATAATTTAGAAATTTTTTATGACTTTTTTTTAATAATTAGATATCTACTTTAAGTTTGTTCGTAAGAAACGACTATTGATGAAGATGGTAGATGGGGAAGCATTATTAACCTTAATCTCTTTTAAATAATAAACAGAGCATGTTAACCGAACATCGGTCTATAACAAAAATTAAGTCGATCTATTATCAGATTTTTTCATTTTGTTTACAGAAGGAATTCTTAAAATTTCGAATTTTCCCAGTAAACTAAATAAATTCCTTAACTACCACTAAAAATATTGACAAATAGGGAAGAAAAAAAACCAGTTTGTTTTAACAGAAAGAAAAGTTTAATTCACATTATTTATTTGTTTTCCCCTCTCTCCCATAAAAAACATGGCGAAACCAAAAAATTAACCACAATATAATGATTTTACACGTTGGAAAAAGAAAAATAAATAAATAAAACATTTAGACAAGTTATTGGACTGCAATTTGAAAAAATGTAGACCTATAAATTCCAACCCTCGTCCGTCTGTCTTCCTTAATCTCGAGAACGGAGTTAGATAGATAAAACATGAGACCAGCTATTGATAGCTTAAGGGCAGGAGACCCCGATTAACTATATGCAAACTTCCGGTAAAAACCGAAAGTCACGTTATTTCAATTCAAAAATATTCCTGAAAAGAGTTAGATATATGACCGGCACGACTCGATTGCTAAAGGAAAAGTATGATGTACAGGAGGCAAGACACTACTAATTTGAAGATGGAGAGCATATATTTTAAATAAAATAAATTAAAAAATATAATTAAAAATTGCAGCCGGCATTCTGATGATGACACAATATATTTAAGATATATTGTTACATCGTTGAAGATATATTTAATCACCTACAGCGTTCTCGGCAAAGTGATTAATACACATCAAATCATTATATCACCTAATGTTTGCTGATATATTTAATATTATTTTCAAAAAACCTTCATCGTTTAATAAATTAAAGTGCTTAAATGTCTTATCGTGAATTATTTTGACGTCATTTATTTCAGATAATAAATTAAATTAAATTAAATTAAATTTTTAAAAAAAATGCCTACTCTAAATAAACAAGAAATGTGAAAGATAAGACATCATTAAATTTTGATTTTTGAACATTAAACTGAAAAATGAAATTTAAACTTCGTAATAATGGTTTTATACATCGAATAATACAATGCAGGTTATATATATATATATACCAGTATAGGCTCAGATATAAAATAAACAAGAAATGTGAAAGATAAGACATCATTAAATTTTGATTTTTGAACATTAAACTGAAAAATGAAATTTAAACTTCGTAATAATGGTTTTATACATCGAATAATACAATGCAGGTTATATATATATATATACCAGTATAGGCTCAGATATATAACAATGGAAAAAATTAATGAAGAAGACTTGTGTGAACTGTACAATTTGTGCAGAATAAAACATTTGTGGCTTCGAGCGGCATTATGCCTCAGGGCCAAATTAAATGGAGTCAACATAGGTTAAAAAAGGAAACCATTTTAGAAATCCGTGACTTCAGCCGTAACGATCGAACAAAGAAAAAACAATTCTCAGGTCCCAGCTGACCTCAATATGACCAAGAAAAGAATGACCAGATTTAAATTACATAATATATTTGCCCTTGCAATTCCCATTACCCGAATTTTTTTCATTCTTAAAATGTCGCGAATAACAATATAAAAATATTCTAAATCTATTATTAGCGCGTTAAGTAACATAGATTTGGTAAACAAAGTCAAAGATTTGGTATTAAAAAAACAATGGAATTGCAATTCGTACAGATTTTTGGCGATGCGAGTGTGTGATAAGTATGAGAGTTGACAGGTTGTTCAGACATCCGATGCAGAATAAAATAAAAGTAGCAATAAGATGTCCGACAGAAGGATAGACCAGAGAAAAAAAGGAAATGGATGGAAGAGAATAAAACTGGACAAGAGTAAGAGAAAAGAAAAATATATTGGCAACTGACTGATCTGGGATAATCCTTCAGGAGGAGGCGGAAAATAACTATAGATTACGTTTTATTTAAACCTTTGCTGGCCAAGAGATCAGAACTCAAAATCATCTTCGATATTTTCTTTCCAGCGGAGGAAAATAGTTTTCAGAAAATATCCTGGATTTGATTAATCTAAAATAAGAAAAAAAAAAACAACATCCTCTTAGCATTCTCGTAATCCCCCCCACAAAATACTACTGGCAAGAAATATTTTCATGTAAACAGATCACGATCCTGTTAAATTCCGATCCAGACCAATACACTAGAAACAAAAGAAACATTGACCCGCATCTATCGAAAATATAAAAAACAAACAAAATAAGCGCCTCTATAATATAACAAATATTTAGTCGAAAAGAGCAAAACATATTTTGATTATTGTCATTTTTTTTATATTTGTTACGTCACTTCTATATGCCTTGCGTGTGATACGTTCCTTTCCAAGTGTCAACGTCCTTCTTCTTTCATAGTGTTTTGTCTGCTCACTTATATTTAACTCATTCTTCAATTTCGTTGCCAATCTGGCAACGAAATTGAAAATAAATCGCCGATACAATAACAGCTTTCTATGTCGTTGGCACCTACCTCCGTACTGACCTTGACCGGTATGACGTAACAAATAGCCAGACAGGCGCCCAATCATGATCGATTTTTCACAAATCTGAACACATTACTATATGATAGCATCACTGGATATCGAACTGCAATTATTTATTATCGACTCGTTAAATTAATCGTATCAAAATATAAAAATAAATAATGATAATATCTTTAAACTGATTATAAATGGCATTTAAGATATTTAATTTTTCAATGCGGAAGATAAGAAAAATATTTTTTCCTCATCTTAATTTTAATATTTTAATCCTATTTATTAAATTTTAGCGAGAAATTACTAAAGTGCATTAAAATAATTGGCCGGAAATCATAAGAAAGTGCCCAAAAGTATTATAAAATCCAAAATTAGTGGCGAAAAATAAGATTAAATTTTAAATAATAATAATAAATTATTGGCTTATAAGAAAAATAATAGTAAGAACTGTGCATAAAATAAACTCAGGAAAAGAATAGTGTAAGCTACATCAGGAAAAAATTAAAAATTCTTGTAAATTTACGGCAATCTGCATCATTATTTAAATTATTAATATTAATTTTTCGGTAATTTATTGTTAAAATATTGAATTTAAACGATTTTTAAGTTATATCCGCATGGATACATTAATACTTTATATTTATTTTCTACGTAAATAATTTGTAAAGACTTAACAAAAACACATAACCGTGTACGATAAAATAATAACAACAATAATAATATGTAATCAAAAAGCATTTACAGAATGAATGAAGCAAAGTTTTCTGAATTTTATGGAAA